ATAGGTACGAAAGAGAATACTTGATACGTTCAATTCAATGCTGCTCTTAAAGCTATAAGTGGAGCTGAGGCTAATTTAGAAGTTGCTAAAGCTTGGATGAAATTAACCGAACTCAAAGATGGTAATACTCCTCTAAATGCCGGTGAGATAATTACTCCTGCTAGTGCTGCTGACTTACATCGTCGAAATTGAAAGCCATCTGCTTTTATAAATAATGGAGGTAATTTACAATTTCGTGGTGGAGCAAGCCCAATTAGTGGTATTGCTAACAGTGCGAATAACTTAGCTAATATTGAGGCTAACTTAGCAACAATTGATAGATTAGTCCACTGACGCACAAATTTTGCTGTTGGTTATACAGGAGCAGGCGGCAAGGCCGCCGACATGGATGGAACCGGAAGTAATAGTAATCACAACAAAATAATGGATAGTTGATTTGACTTATTTAATGAAATCGATGTTGACGGCGGAAAAGGAATCCACGCCGGACCAATCGGTGGAACTTTAGCAACCCAAAGTTTTCTCAATGCAACAGCTGCCGGTCAGGCTTGTTTCAGAGGGTGAGAACCAAAAATGATGATAAGAGGTGATGGTGGTCGTGGTTTTCATGGAGATCCGCTTAATGAAGTAAATAATATACCAAGGGGTTCATTAGCAGCTTATAGTCCTGCTAATGGAGACGATAAACTTTGTGGAAATGTGATTACTGGAGTAAGTTGAAAAGATTATTATCGTAAGGGCTTTAAAGCGCAAGAAGAACCAGCTAGAAGTGAAATTAATAACGATATTGATAAATGAATAACTAAGATTTCAATTGGAAGAAGAGCTGGCTTATCCTTTAACAACGGATGAAAGCCCGAAGATATTGATACTTCAGGAAAAGCAACGTTAAATGGCAAAGAATGAACTCCTTGAGCAGACAGAAAAAGTGATGCCTTAACATATAAACCAGATAAAGAAAGACCGGAAGAAAAATCACCAAGTGGTAGTGGTATAGATCATGGTAAAACAGCAGAAGAAAACAAAATAAAAAGAGATAAAGAAGATGCTAAAAAAGAATTAGACAGTATAAGGGAAAGCATTAAAATAAGTGAATGTGATACAGTGGCGAAAGTTGATGATGCTCTTAAAAAGTTAAATGATTTTGAAAAAAGTGGTAAATACAATGGACAAGCTGAAATAGTTTTCAAAGAAGATAAAGCAACACAAGATCTTATTAAAGAATTAGAAACGAAAAAAACAGAATTAAGTGGTGGTAAAGAAACTGGTGGTAAAGAAACTGGTGGTAAAGAAACTGGTGGTAAAGAAACTGGTGGTAAAGAAACTGGTGAAAACGTTGATACTGTCCGTAAGAAAATCCATGATGAATTAGCAGCTCATAACCTTAACGATAAACAAACAAAAAAAATTCTCCAAGATCTTGAAAAAGATTATCCAGAAATTAAAGGACAAACCACTCTTCAAGCTGCATTAGAAAAACTTACAACTCAAGATAAACTTAATAGTTTCAAAAGTGCAATGATAAACAAAATTGAATCAGTCAGTCAACAGGGTTTTTGAAGATCAAATAATGTTTGAATGTGAGTAAGTATTGTTGCAATTATTGCTGTTATTGGTGCCGCAGTTTGATACTTCTTCATGAGAAAACCAAACAAACCGGAAGAAGGAGAAGAGGAAGAATAATCTTTCTCCTCTAACAGTCAATATGGAGAGCAAAAGTTTTTGTCGTTCTCCGGTTAACACCTGTTGTTTAGAAATCTAAACTGTGAAAAAATGTGAGATACTTATCGTTTGCACAAAGCCTGGGAATTTTCGGAAGTGTTCAAACAAGGGAAGAAAATAATTAATTCAGAATTCGTGGCTTTTTATCTTCCTAATCACTTAAATACTTGTCGCTTTGGCATTAGCATTCCACGAAAAATGGTAAAGAACGCAACCCGGAGGAATTACTACAAGCGACAAATTAAAAATATTCTTGCTTCTTTCTTAAAAGAACATAAAATTGTTTGTCCATTTAATCAGCCTAATCACCACGATTTAGTAATTGTCATTAGACCAAACTTTCTGACAGTTGACGATTTTTCTGTTAAACAAAAATCACTAGTTGAACTGCTTGACTTAATTCCCCAAAAAAAAACATATTTAAATAATTTGACCAAAAATAAGAGAACCCCTTATGCCTAAACAAAAAATTTTTTTTTCTTCCTTTTACCGGATTTTCACCAAGGTCATTGCGGTTTTATTTATTATTCTGCTCATCCATTCTTTTCCCTTTTTTCCTTTTTTTAAAAAATCCGCCCAAGTTGTTCACTATCAAGAATATATTAGAGGTGAAAAAAATATTGGTAGCGATCGGCAAAAGATTGAAGAAGGAGCCCAGACTTTAAAAGAGATTGACGATATCGAACAGGCTATTTTAACTGAAGTTAAGGTTGAACTACAAAAAAAAGGCAAAAATTTACAAAAAGACCAAGAACTTGAAAAAGCCAAGGAAAAATTAGACGAAGCACAAAAGAAACATGAAGAAAAAAGGAAAATTCGTGAAAAGGCAGAAGAAGAATATAAAAAACTTCCTGTGAAAAGTACTGATTTATTTTCACCAGAAGAAAGTAAAATAAATGACGACTACGGAAGTGCTAGAGCCTATGAAGACAAGGCTGATGAATATCGCCAAGAAGAATTAAAAAAAGTTCGCGAAAAAGTTATCGACAATATTCAAAATGAACTAAAAAGAGCTAAATTAGCAATCACTGATTTAAATATTGAATTTACTGATAATAAGACTTGAGAAAAACGTCCCTTACATAGATCAATATTGCTTGACCCAATAAGATTTTTTTTAATTCAGCCACTTCAATGAACTTCTCGACAATGTGGAATAACAAGTTTGCCTTATGGAATTTTTTGAGATTTACTCTTAAAAGTTCTAATAATGCGTTTGCTTTTAAATTGAATAAGTTATCCGCCAAAATTAGCCGAGTTAGACCTCAAATCTCGCGAAAAAACTGAACCAACTGACCTGGCTTCTTTAGAAGAAGAAAGAGAAATAGCAAAACAGCAATTAGAAAATATGAAGCAAGTTTTTTTTAATTTTGCTATGAGTTTTCTTTTAATCGGTGCTTTTTCGCTCCATCCCTTTGCTTTTGATCGCAGCAATAGTTTATTCGGTGGAAAAGCTGTTTTTTTTCCTTGAGCAGTTCTTTATTTAATCGTTTTTTTCTTTTCTCAATTTATTTCTGTACTCAGTTGCCAGAAGATATCGATAGGAGATTATTCACGAAAAGGCACCACCTGGTTCTCAATTGGCATTACATGCTTGATTTTCTTAGGCTTTTACTCACAAACTGGAAGATTCGGCGATTATCTATTTGCTTTGCTGAGTGAAACTATTAACATTCTCATTAATTTAGTGAAAATGGCTTATCGCCGAAACAAACCACTAAAGAAAGAAAAGATTAAATGAGAAAGGAAGAAAGTATGAAGTTATCACAATTACAAGAATTAGCTAAAAAAGTACAATTAGAAATAAAAGCCGAAGAGACACAGCATTTGCTAAACAACTTTTTGAAATTAGAGGAATTGTTGGCAAAGTTTCGACAGGTACAACTAAAAAATAGTCAATTTTACCAAAAACAAGCAAAACTCACTTTGTCAAACCTTCAACAATTAACTAAAAACTATTTAACTCACAAAATAAAGCAAGAAATTGTTTGTCATAATGCGACAGTTTCTGCTAAAAATTTTCTAATTATTCGTAAAAAGAAAAGCAGCCAAAATTAAAAAAAATCTATAAAATGTTAAAACAATTATTTCTTAATTGGGAAGAATCAGTATCTCGTCTTTCAATTCGTGGAATTACTAGCGAACAGTTATTAGTAATTAAAAATAAATGAGAAAAAAAGAACTGATTGACCCAAGCAATTAATCTACTGCGGGAAGAAAAAAACCAACTAAGTAAAAAAGGAAAAGAAGCCACTGAGTTAGTTATTAATTTGAAAAAAAGATTGAATGCCCAAGAGAAAGAATTAGCAGATATAGAAAAAGAACTACAGCAGTCAATCGAAAAAATTCCTAATTTTCCTGCCCTGGATACGCCTTTGAAAGAAAACAAAATTATTGATGAACCAAAACACAACTGAGAAACAAAACATAATTTTACTTATGAAAAAATTGCTCGTGAATTGAAAATTATCGATGAAAAAGCCAGCATTAAATTGTCAGGCAGCCGATTTGCTGTTTATCAAGGGCTAGGCACACAGTTAGTCCAGTCTTTAATTAATTTAATGTTAAATGAACAAAAGAAAAAAGGCTATCAATTATTCAATGTTCCTTATTTAGTCCACAGCCAAAATCTTTACCACGTTGGGCAATTACCCAAATTTAAAGAAGATTCATTTAAAATTGAAAACAGCGATTTTTATTTAATCCCCACCGCCGAAGTTCCTTTGGTTAATCTTTATCAAAATGAAATCTTGAACGAAAGTGATTTACCATTAAAATTGTGTGCCTACAGTCCATGTTTTAGAGCAGAAGCAGGAGCAGCAGGTCAAGAAAATAAAGGTTTAATTCGTTTACACCAATTTCACAAAGTTGAATTAGTACGCATTACTCAACCAGAAAATTCTTATCAACATTTAAAAAAAATAGTAGAAGACGCTAGAAATATTCTTCATTTGTTAAAAATCCCTCATCGGGTAATTGAACTTTGTGCAGAAGAATTAGGATTCAGTGCTGCTAAAACTTATGACATTGAAGTCTGATTGCCTATAAGCAAAAGGTGATTAGAGATTTCCTCTTGTTCTAACTGTGAAAGTTTTCAAACTGAACGAGCCAAAATTAGGGTAAAAAAACAAAATGGAAAAAAATATTACCCCCATTCCTTAAATGGCTCCGGTCTAGCGATTGATCGTCTAATTATTGCTATTTTGGAATATTATTACAATCAAGATAAAAATGTTCTAGAAATTCCTCCTGAATTAAAGAAGTATTTTTTTAACTATGATTAACAATTTTATAATAAGCAAAATTACCTTATTGCTTTTTTAGTTAATTCAATAAATACAAAACATCAAAAAAAATACCGTTTATTCGCAAGACACTCGAATAAATAACAGAAGTAAGAATTTTTTCTTTCGTTACCTGCTGGTTAGTATTATTTAAGTTTCTTATTTTTTCTCTTATTAACTAATTTCACTAATGAAAAAGATTACTTTGAGTTCGCTTAAATCTTGTTGAAGCAGATAATAGCCTCATTTAGTCAACGAGCAACTAACTATATAAATAGTTTTTTCTTCAACAGTTTTTTGTTCGTAAAGATGACTTACATAATAAACTGGCTTGAACTCTTTTAACAAGGAGAGAATTTTGTCTAGTTTATCACGAGAATCGGTTTGTACATTTAAGATTACTTTAATGTCTTTAGGGAACATTTGACTAATTAAAAATGACGAAAGGAAAATATAAACTAAAGTGGCTCAGAGTTTTTCATTATTTGATACATATTTTACATATCCTTTAAGATAGCCCATTGGAGTTTTTTCGTAAATTTCTTTTTCAGTTCGTTCTTGGCGTTTTTTGAGATAGATCAAATATTTTTTTACTCTTTTATTATCAGTTGAAATGATTTCTTGTTCTCTTTTAGAAATTTCTTTTTCTAAAGTATTTTTTAATTCTTCCTTGTTCATTAAATACATATCAATTTCTTCTTTAGGATATTCTTCTAAGAAATTACTGCCGGTTTTGATTTTTAAGTGAGTAGTAAGTAGCGCGTTTTTTTTTTGAAGAGTAAGAATTTTCTGTTGTTCTTGGTGAATTTTTTGTTCTTTTGTTTGCTTAATTTCTGGATTGCTCTCCTTTTTAATATCTTCTTCTAATTCAAAATTTTTGTCTTCTAAACTTCTCTTAGTTTTGTAGTTCTCTTTTCATCTTTCGAGAACTTGGTCTAAATCCTCTCCTTCATTAAGAAATTTTTGCTCGGCGAATTTGTTTTTTTCTCAAAGGTAAGTTTTTAAGTCGGCTTTTTTTACTTTTGGATTGTCGTCAATTCAAAGAAAACTAACCACAGTAATCAAAAAAATAATCAAAAATCCAAAAAATTGAAAAAGGAACTTAAGCGAAACTTTTGTTTTTTTTTTGCTAGAAAGATGGGCAGTAATAATTTCCAGTCCACCCGGCGTGGCTCGGGCTCTGAAAATTAAACTATAACCATAAGTATGAATTAAAGCGGCTAAAAGAGCAATAGTAACATAGAAAGGCAAAGTAAATCCCAATTGTTCACGACCAAAACCTCAGTTTTCAGGAGAAAAATTATTAAATACGTAATTGTTTAAACTGAGTTTGTCAAATATTGTGCTTCAAAAAAGTTGAGCCAAGGAGTAAAAAAGAGCCGTTGATAATATTTCTAACTTTCCCCCAAAGAAATGCCGTAAAACAGCAATAATTAGCAAATTAATTAAAAAAGCAGTACCAAAAAGAAATTGAGTGTTGTAGGCACGCACTTTTTCACTGTATCCAGTTAAGAGGTTGAAAATAGCTTGTAAAAAACCATTTAAGCCGCTATTATAAATGCCGTTTGGCTTCAGTAAGAGAGTAAACGCAATAGTAGTAAAAAAAGCCGCAAAAAAAACTATTCCAATTTTTGCTAAAAAGCCGCGAATTTTTTCTTGTTGTCGCACTTTTTTTGTTTTGGTGTCGCGGTGTAAAGAACGAATAATATCTCCATATCTTTTTCAAACTTGGTAATCTTTTTTTTCTGGTGGCAGTTCTTCAATGGGAATTTTTTTTTTTGTTTTCATCTCTCTCTCTCTCTCTCTCTCTAATTATTCTAGCAATATTTGCTCAGGTAAACTTTCATTAATGAAAATATAATAAATTTCTTCGCGATGAAGAGTATTTTTTTCAATCAGTGTTTGAGCCAATAAATCGAGAACTTTTCTTTTTTCTTGTAAAATTTGACGAACTTTTTGTTGACATTCATTGAGGATTTTTCAGCGTTCATCTTCAAATTTTTGTCGTGCTGCCTCAGATAATTCATTTAAACTTTCTTCACCAAAAAAAGGAGAATCCTGGCTGGCAATTATTCCTAAGTCAGACATACTATAACGCAAAATCAAATCTCTAGCTAATTCAGAAACTCTTTTGTAATCTGAGTAATTGCCGGTAGTGACATAACTAGTGCCAAAAACTAATTCTTCACTAATCCGACCACCTAGAAAAGACATAATTTGAGCTAAAATTTCTCTTTTATTAACCAAAGTGTCATCTTCCTTTTCTCGTAAATCAACTCAAGTATAACCACCAGCTGTTCAGCGAGGAATAACCGTAATTTTGCGAACTACTAACTCTGGAAGAACTAAACCAACAACGGCATGTCCGGCTTCATGATAAGCAACTAATTTTTTAGTTTCGGGGGTTAGGGCTTGGCTTTTTAAAGCTGGTCCCATTAAAACACGATCAAAGGCTTCTAAAAGGATAGCTTGGCTAATTGCTTTTTGTTGATAACGCACCGTTAAAATTGTGGCTTCGTTAAACATATTAGCAATTTGGGCACTACTCATCCCTTTGGTCATAGAAGTTATTTCTTTTCAGTCAACATCAGCAGTGAATTGTTTTTTTCTAGCATATAAACTAATAATTTCTTGCCGAGCTTTGTAATTAGGTAAAGAAATGTAAATATGCCGGTCAAATCGACCAGGGCGCAAAAGAGCCGGGTCAAGGGTGTTTAAGGAATTAGTTGCGGCGAGAAAAATTACATTTTCCCGCGGAGAAAATCCATCTAGTTCATTAAGTAATTGATTCAAAGTCTCGTGGTGGGAAGTAATTGATTGATGTCGTTTACCGGCAATAGCGTCAATTTCATCAACAAAAATGAAACAGCCGCCTTTTTCTTGAGCATATTTTCGAGCCAAGGCAAAAGTATTGCGAATATCAGCTGCTCCTCAACCAACAATTCCTTTTTCAAATTCCGGAGCAGAACGATAAATAAAAGGCAATTTACACTCTCCCGCCAAAGCTTTTGCCAAAAGAGTTTTTCCATTGCCTGGTGGTCCAACTAG